GTAACCACTGTGAAAGACGAAAATCAATAACAGCACTAATAAATACGGCAGTTTGAACACTGTTAGACGGGTGTTGCAGGGATTGCTTGTAATAGATATGGTAGTAGATTTCCAAACATTCACCACTATGCAAAAAGTAGTTAGGTCGTAGCACTGTATGAGCTATGCCTTTCACTGTTTACACACGGTTCACTGAGCGCTGCACAAGACACGTCTGCACTGCTCGGCGTCTGTCGGTGAACTCCAGAAACATGTTTTAGTGAACAAAAATGTACTCATCTGAAGTGTTGCCACGGGGGTATCTGTCAGCTGTGCAGTTCAGTCTGGTCAGTCACAGCAGTTCAGTCCACAAACATTTACTGTTACTGTAATTCCTTTAGCTGTAGTTCATTTACTTACTTACATACTCATGGAGCTGAGCCTTTCTGGAGGAGCCACAAGTTCTGCAGCTACCCAAGAACTTCCTAGCATTTTATGGACCCTGAAAGTTCATTACCATGTTCACAAGAGCCCTCCACTGATTCCTATCCTGAGCCAGATCAATCCAATCCATAACATCCCATCCTATCGCTCTAAGATCCATTTTAATATTGTCCACCCACCTACGCCTTGGTCTTCCCAGTGGTCTCTTTCCTTCTGGCTTTCCCACCAGTATCCTGTACACGTTTCTTGTCTCCCCCAGTCGTGCTACATGCCCTGCCCACCTCATCCTCCTTGACTTGATCGTTCTAAGTATACTTGGAGAAGAGTACAAGTTATGAAGCTGTAGTTCATAGTTTAAGTTATTTTTGTGTGATACAGTGAAATCCCTATTTCATTAATTTGTTGCAGAATGGCTATTTGTACACTAAATCCAGGGTTCCACTGAGTGGGGATTGATCAAAATTATGTCAAAAAACTTCATCTTCCTCCTTGACTTATTGTGTACAAGGTGTGTCCCAAAAGTCATGAAATATATTTCTTTCCCGTGCTCCTACTGGTCGGAGCGCACTGGAACCGGTTGGGTTAGGGGGGGTCTTTAGCTTCACAGCACACCCAAGGTCAGTCTGCTCGAGCATCGGAGCCGTCAGTATCGCTGTTGTAGTGCACCTGTGTTTTGTGACCAAGTCACGGCGCGCGATGGCGGATACTTTCAAACAACGTTGGGCGGTCAAGTTCTGCACAAAGCTCAACAAAAAAGCTGCTGAAACTCACGAACTGCTTAAGCAAGCCTACGGGGAGTCTGCTCTATCATATGTGCAAGTTACAAGGTGGGTGAAGAAGTTTAAGGAGGGCCAGGAAGGAGTGGAAGATGACCCCTGCTCTGGACGGCCATCAACAAGCCAAACCAATGAAAATGTGACTCGTGTGCGTGATTTGTTGAATACTGACCATCAAATGACTGTCCGGTTGTTAGCCGACAATCTGAACATTCCAAAAAGCATTGTGCATCGCATCATTATGGACGAATTGAACATGCTCTGCTCTTCCATGAGTTCCTGGCGAAGCACCACGTGGCAAAGCTGCCGCAGCCACCCTACAGCCCCAACCTAGCTCCGGCCGACTTCTTTTTGTTCCCGAGGATCAAGACTGCACTCAAAGGACGCCGTTTTGAAAGCATTCAGGCAATCCAAGCGGCCGTGACAACATCTTTAAATGAGGTTCCCGTCGAGGCCTTCGAGGGGGCGTACCGGGCATGGGAGAGTCGGAAAAAATGTGTGGATGCTCACGGACAGTACTTTGAAGAATATTAACACTTTGTACCGATATCATCAATAAATTTAATATATATATATTGACTCACCCGCCACGTCACTGCTGGTGGGGTGGGTTCTCTGTTGCGCAACATGTCACACTGCTCCCTCCTTAAGGCTGTTCATCCCGAATAGCCTAACGGTGCATCCCCGTTCCTTTACTTCGGAGGCTGTTCTTGCAGCATCTGTTCTTCGTCCATTACAATATATATATATTTCATGACTTTTGGGACACACCTTGTATAATTATAGTAAAGTAATTTTTTGTGTCAGTAATTAAAGATAGTTTCTGTTCAAATTAGTAAGTACAATTACATAATCAGGAATGTCAAATTAATTTATAAAATAAAGGCTGAAAGAAGCTCAGCTAGGAATGAAGGAATTGTGATATCACAAGCAGCATGGTTCCAGTATATTATGTAACTTGCCAGAGGCTGTGGTTGTGCAGTAACAATATCTGGCAGGGAGATGTGCATATGCATTATTGTTTCAGCCACAGCTGCACAAAATTAAGGTATAAATGTAAGGTTCAAACTTCTTATACTAATTATGGTGTATCTGTTTAATCCATTATTCACTAAATATGGAAAAATTATATTGTCATGATTTTAGCATAACTCTAAATGGGGTTTGGATTTGTAATCAGATTTATTGAACACTTACAGAATGTAACTGCAAATAACCATGACAGTCTCACTGAGTTACACACTCCAAAGATTACTGTAACTACAGCACACACAAAGTCTTCTCAGTTTGCTATGTGTTCATATGTCGTTCTGGTGATAGATGCATAGAATGTCAACTGCTTCCATGCTGTCACTTATACTGGCTAGCGACTGTCTCACAACTAACTCATTGCTGCAACTGCCGACTCTCAACTAACTGACTCTTACTGTCCTGTTTGTAACATCTTGGCACTGACCACATAGATGACACTGTTCCTCTGTTGCTGTTTCCAATTGTTTTCATACAAACATGCTTGTTTGCAAAGCTATTACTTAGTTTCAGCTGTTATAGGTGCTTCTTTCCCAGTCATTACCTAGTAAAGGGTCTGCATGCCACATTGTTCCCCCCTTAAGGCTATTTGTCCTGAATAGCCTACAGGCATACAGCAATTTCTTATTTTTTGAGGGCTGTGCATGTGGTATCTATGATCAGCCTAGCCTTCCTTCCCCATGGCTCGTTTCCTACAGTGATCACTCTCCAAGTGTTCCCGCTGCTCTGTCCTTAATGCTGCTTATCCCAAGCAGTTCCCTGATAAGGTGCGAGCTGGTCTAGGTGTATCATCATCATCTTTGTTCTTTTCTGAGGGCTATACTTTGGTCGGCTCTTCTGAAGGGGGTCAACCCCTCCACAATGTCCAGTCACTCATTTCCTGTAGCCCAGTCAAAGACCTGAACTCCGTCTCTGTGGTTTTCCTGAAGATCCTGCTGGATGTCCTCTCTTTCCACAGACCTAGCTGCCATCTTGTGTCTCAATCCTTTATTCCATTGTTGTACTCCTGGCCCTTCCGTCATCTTGACCATCTGCCCTTTCAGGGTTCCAGTATCCCACAGTCGGTCACTGGTCCAACAGATCAATCCTCCTGTGCTCTGACAGTCTCAACTGTGGCCTCTTCCATATGGACTTCCTGATGCACTGCTGCAGCCTCCAAATCCATGGTGTTCAATTTGTTCAACCTTTCTTTGAAGACATCTACCGGTATCCAATTATTCCAGGCTGGGTCTGTCTCAGAGTGCCTTCCTTCAAACATGACTGAGACTCCTCTGTCCCCAGTGGACAACTCGACGACTGCGCAGAAGAGCGCATACCTCTGCTAACAGAAGGAGATATGGCACCAGCACCAGGATCCCAAATATAGCCATGAGTGTGATCGTTAATGTGTGATAACAGATAACTCTTGCTTGAAAATAACCAAGTTTGTTCTTACATAGACCTTTGTCGTAATGTCTAAGTAGAGCTTAATGACGCCACGCAGTACCAACAGGAGGTATGCCTTCAACACCTACATGTCACCTGAGCACAGCCTTCATTCTTCTCAGTAGGAATATTGCACAAAATTCACTAAATATGGGATTTCACTCTACTACATTAGACCACTAGATCAAAAATTATTTTACCCTTTTTCAAAATACATAACTAAGTGGTCCTGTGTTACAAAGTTTTCAGTAAGGTAAGTGAAAGAATGTGAGAAGACCTTCACTCTATTTATTGCTGTAGATAGTGCATTCCCCCTTTTTAAGGGATGTTATTTCAGAACCAAGTGCAAATTGTTCAGTGAGTCCATTAGAAGAGAAACGAGCTCCTTTCAGCTCTTTCTGCATCACTCCAGATACACAGTCCAGTCAGCAAGGGGTTTATGAGGGGAATGATTGACAAATCTATGTTCTGGTTCGGTACTTTCTTGTCCAGTAGCAGCCCTATCTGTCTAAATTTCTGATTATAGAAATTTTTTTCTAAATGGAACTGTATCCTGAAATTTATGGTGGAATCTTCTTACTTTTCAGAGGGGTACACAGACTTAATCAGTGTGTAACTCTAACATGCCATTTTGACACAAGAAGTGATGCCCCTGGTTGTATGTTTAGTACAGCAGCAAGAGCTATGGACAGTGGTTAACACTTTGTGGGCAGCGCACACATTAATACATTTTTTGCTTTTAAACGTGGCGGACCGGTCACCTATTAATACGTTTTTAGAACATGATTAGTTGCAACACACTATACATTGCTCTGACGCCACCAAGCTTGCATGTAGCTGCCTGCAGCTGCATGATAAGCCTCTGGAATGTTTGCTGACTAATCAGTTATGTGACCTCGCTGTAACTGTATGCCCCTGCAAAGGAAAATAAATGCCTTTATTTCTTCAAGCTATATGTAGCAAGCTGTCAGCGAGTAGTGCAATATGCTAACATATAATCCTGGGAAACTTACAAAGTATGGCCTACTTGTCCGTGTAGTTACTGAAAGCACTTCAGGCTATGTTGGAAATGTAGAAATTTATTCTGGTGAAGGAAAGAAATTAGAAGAAACTATTCTTTCTGTTTTGAAACCCCATCTTGATCAAAATTACCATGTCTGTCAAGACAATTATTATAACAGTGTGGCAACTGCAGAACACCTACTTTCGAGAAAATTACATGTTTGTGGAACAATTAGGGTGAACAGAGGCCTTCCTCCAGATCTGAAAGAGGAATGTAAATTCCTGAAACGTGGTGAAACCACATTCAGGAGGAAGGGGGATATTCTTCTTCAGTCCTGGAGGGATACTCGTGTTGTGAATGTGATTTCCCCCGGGATACTCGTGTTGTGAATGTGATTTCCACAATTCACAATTCGAGCATGGTTGATGTTCAAAGGAGACATGGGCAGGTAAAGAAGCCTGTTTGTATTTCCGAGTATAATATGTTCATGAAGGGAGTTGATAGAGCTGATCAGTACTTGGCCTATTATTCTCTTCCTCAGAAAACAGTAAAGTGGACAAAGAAAGTTGCCTTGTGGCTTATAAATTGTGCCATTTTCAATTCATTTTTGGTTTTCAAAAATTTAAACCCTCATTCAAAATTGAAATACAAGGCATTTCTGCTGAATGTGGCAAAAGCCTGGGCTACAGACCACATGGTGGCGGCAGACACAGACTTAGTGCCACCAGGCCCATCTACTCCCGCCTCTTGTGGACACCCCTGGGCGACTCTCGGGTGATATGCGGAAACATACCCATGTGAAAACTGTGAAGAGTGAACATTCCAAGGGGAAGCATCCTTCTAGGCAATGCCGTGTTTGCACAGTTCACAAAAAAAGACTATGACTGTCTACATTTGCAAGTGTGTAATGCCACTTCACAAAGGGGAATGTTTCCAGAAATATCACACTCTTAAGCACTTCTAGGAGCATTGATAAGTGTTCTCCAAAAATTTTAGTTTGTAAAATTAATTAGGAGATTTTATATTAAACTTTAAAGTGAACAGTGCACAAGTTAGAGTAGTAGGTATAAAAATGCCAGTCCCCAGGGTGATTTAAATATTTAAATTGCCAGTCCGCAAAGTGTTAACAGGCACATAACATGTAAGCTTGCTTCATGGTAACTATTTGAAGATCTGTTGCAATGATACTGGAGATAGGCTTTTGACCTGTCACTCATGCCATGAGTCATGTGAGTTGATGCGAGTAGCTAATCAGGAAACCTAGTATTTGTGAAAACTGCATAAAATGAAGGAAAATAAAATCAAACCTAAATGTTGTGGTTATTACTGATTTTTGTCCAGTGTTTATATCACTAAGTAATGGTGTGTGGTGGGAGAGAACTGATATAACATAAGCTTAATGAAGGAAATACATGTTCATGTGGGAAACTGCTACATGGATTGTATCATAATATTGTTGATACAATTACAGTAGTAAGAAACAATGTAAATAACAGCAACTAACTTAACACTGATGTTCCACTGTAATGTGGAACTCGATATATTGTGGTTCCGTATTAAACCATAAAGTTTGTGGGCTCAGTACTTTTGAATAGATTTTATAATAAGGTGCCACTTTTAATTCAGCCGTGTGGTGTATAAAATAAACTGTGCTCTAGTGGGGCCATGACCGTTGTCTTTAGGTAACATGTCCTCTTTTTAAACAGGAGAGTAATGATGTCGAGATACTCTGGCGACTGAGCAGGGCATTGCATCACATGTCCAAGCAGCAATGTCATAATGAAGAAAAGAAACGATATGTGTTTGAAGGCTATGATTTGATTGTGAAGGCATTACAGTTAAATGATTCCCACTATGCAGTCCACAAGTGGTATGCAATATTTCTTGACACACGTGCAGCATATGATGGAATCAAAGCCCGTGTGACCCAGTTGCCAAATGTCAAGAATCATTTGTTGGTATGTATGGATATGTCTGTTAATGTTACATATTTGTTTCTCAAGCTGTTAATGCTTCAAATGAAGTTTGTTAATATATTTAAGTAGACAAGAAGGAGCTTAACAATTTGTGAATTTTCATGTAATATTGTTAGAAGTTCTTAGTCTCTTCTTGTTTTGTGTACTGATACTGCAGGAATCATGACATGAAGTAGAATAGGCTTACTGATGTTTAAAATAAAAATATTTGGAGAAACAATTTGTGATTGTAATGTACTCTTCTGTACATTTCAAGTACTTTCTGTCACATGGTTTATACTTCTGTGTGTTGTTAAGTGTTGTATACTGAGTGGGTATGCCTTTCTACTGTTACCTTAATACCACTGTATTCCTATCTGAAATGATATCATTACATGTTTTTAGTGACAAATTTATTATAGATGTTCATTGTTTCTTGAAGTTAGTTAAAAGTTTCATTTGCTTAATACAGTAATTTGAATTATTATCTAAGGTACCAAACAAAATTTTACCTCCCTCCAATGAAATGTAAAGCTTGTATACACCTATGTGAATGCCCATGTTTTTTATCCAATGAAATCTCTTAACAGTCCTTCATTTCCTCATATCTGATTGAATTTGTTTTTGGCTGCTATATAAAAGTGGTTACAATTTATCAGTTTTGGAATTCAATTATAAAACAGTTTATTTATAAAGTATATGCGTTTTGTTGATCTGATTTACTGTCAGTTTGCTTTAGACTTACCTACAGTGCCATTTTCCATTCAGTATCTTATGAACTGGCGTGTCAAATGTTTTTGTAGTACACTATTAGGGATTTGTCATGTTTGTCAGTACAGTATTCTAGTCTCTCAATTGAAGTTTTAGCATATTGTATCCACAACAAGCATATTATCTATACACCGGATATCCACATCTTTCTAGATCGCATCATTATTTCTGGCTTTGATTGCAAGTCTTCACAGGGTGATAGTTGTTTGAGGTATGAGAAGAAACTTGTCGAGTTTGTGATCTGCATATCATCAGCCTGTTAGGTAGACCTCCACAATAACAACATGCAGTTGAGTTGCCCAGCTTCTTTCCATGTTGATTCCCTTTGGTTCAAAATAGGTTCCTTGGCAACAGTTATATTTGTGAATTATTTTTGAGAACCTATAAAGTTTTTTTATCAATTTCATACAGGGTGGGGCACAGAAACTTCCTTTTTGTGAAGACGCATTGTGAAGGGAGGGGAGGTTGCAGAAAAGTGGGGATAGGCTCAGCGAATGCAGCAGTCACAGAAGTTTCTGTCTAATACCCCTCAGTAGGAAACATGAAGTGGACGAGTGAGCAGCGTGCATTTGCTGTCGAAGCCTATTTTTCAAACAACCATTCCTACGTGGCGGTGGGGGGTGCATTCAGTACTCACTTCGCAATTAAGCCCAGAGGTCCGGTTCCCGACTGGAAATCGATTGTTTTGTGGGTAGAGAATTCGGGACAACCGGGAGTGTGGCGAAAAAATCGTCAGGACAACAATGGACCATTACGACGCCAGAAAATGTGGAGGCAGTTTGACAGTCGATTTTGAGATCTCCAAGACACTCCGCTCGCAAACATGCAGTCTGGTTCCAAAGGGATGGTGCCACGGCCCTCACAGCCTGAGCTTCAATGACGGTTTTAAGGGCAAAGTTCCCCAGATGGCTCATCTCGGTTTGAGGTGACATACCATGGGCAGCGCACTCACCTGATCTAATGCCCTGTGATTTTTTTATGGGGGGGGCAGAGGTTTTTAAACATCGCCCCACAAACCTGCTTCAGCTGTAGAATGTTATTCAGCAGGAAGTAGCCCAGATTCCAGTGCACATGTTGGGACATGCAGAGGGGAACTTCAGAAAATGGTTGCATCAGTGCATAGAGAACAGTGGCCACCATCAGTTTAATGAAATATTAATTTGATGACTTCGAGGAGGAGGGCACTGTGGCTCAAAAAGAAAAATGTATATATATATACGTGGTGTCCCAGGAGGAATGTGCCAGACTTCAGGAGAGTGTTCTTTATGTTAAAGAATGCTGATATAATCCAAAACACCTATGTCCAAAGTTGAATGGTTTTGAAGATAATGGCCAGAGAAGTGTGAAACTTTGACATGTGTTACACACTTGTTGATTACCAAATACATATTAAAACTGGCAGGAATATGTGGTTTCTGTAATGTTAATAATGTACATAACATCAAACTAACTTGTGGTTGACATGAAGCCATTAAATTGGACCTCAAAAATACTCGCATGCCTTGTCATAGTTGTCCTTACGGTTCCAAGGACTATACATGACACATGAATGACAAGCGGTGACATAACATGCCTGACTGCGCCTCATCCTTGAATAAAATGACGCTTAACAGTTCAGGATGAGCTTTTACCCAGTGGCACAAATCCATGTGCTGAGCATGGTCACCTGGTTCCAGATGTTATACCCTTTGATCATGGTAAAGATACAACTCTTCATCATGTAAAGTTCGCCACACCTGCATACGTGATACGCCGATGCAAGAGGCAATTCTACGAGTGGACAGACGCGGACTTCTCTGAACCATCTCAAGAACGTTCTCTCATGTGTTTATCATTCGTACATCCTCCCTTTCAGAGTGCACAGAAACACTCGGAAGAGAACCAGTATCACGCAATGCCTGGTGAATTCGTGTAAATACACTTCGACATGTAATCCTTCGATTGGGAAAACGCCTTTGGTATTCTTCAACAGCAGCACGTGCATTGCCACCGCAAAATCCACACACAAAATGCATATCAGAATATTCCACGTTTGAAAACACAAAAGACATTTCAATAGCTCCACACAATTAACCTACCACCCATTCAAAATGTGGCCACAACATCACTCAAGGAAAAACATAGATAAGACATGCCAGCTGACAGGTACAGTGTGTGGCCTCGCCAGAAAATCACACTTTTCTCGGGCCATTAGCTCCGTAACCGTTCAACTTTGGACATAGGTGTTTTGGGTTATATCGGCATACTATATCATAAGGAACACCTTCCCAAAGTTCAGCACATTCCTCCAGGGACATCCTGTATATGTATATGTGTATGTATGTATGTATCTATTGTAGTTAAATTGGTTACTTGGAAAAGAGAACATGTTTAATGTCAGAGATGTAGACATTTTCCCTTTTCTAAATAACCAATTGAGGTATTGCTTTTGTTACTAGTTAAGTAAAAATAAGTTTCATGTTTTAATACTGTAAGACTTGATCCAGGGCAGATCCTGAAAGTAAGCACAAACTCTTGGCCGGTTATTATCAGTAATGAGATATTAAATATTTTTCATGAGCTGTGAGGAGCCTGCCTGTCCTGAATTTAGAAATCTACAATTTGTTGATTGACATGTTGTGTAAAATTTCTTTCAGCAAGCAGTTGAATTAAACCCAAAGGATGCAACAACTCTGTATATATTAGGATACTGGTAAGTGTCACATTTCACTATAGGGTTGTCAGATCCATTGTATATGAATAAACATATGAACTGAAAATTTTTCTTACATCTGATAAAGTTTTTATAGTTTGACATTTATCATTATGGAATGTCTTTACATGGATGGTTTTAGCTTTAAGAATACTAGTTGATGTATTTCATGTTATAAACTAGATAAAATATTTGTGAGAAATGTAATGTATATTCATAAGGTATTCACAAGTTAATATGGAAACAGGATAGGGACCAGTGGAGGGCTCTTGTGAACACAGTAATGAACCTTCGGGTTCTATAAAATGCTGGGAAATTCTTGAGTAGCTGCAGAATTGGTGGCTCCTCCAGAAGGGCTCGGCTCCATGAGTAAGTAAGTAAGTAATATGAGAACATATCTTTAGGAAATTTGGATTCCAGAATTGATCTGTTGGACTGGTTCTTGACATTATGAGTAAGTAAAGGTATCCCTGTAACAGGCCGTGAAGGCCCATAGGTTGTGAGATGTTGAGGTTCCCACATTTTCTAGAGTTGACTCATAGATGGCAGTAAGTTTGTGAGCCTTATGTGCTGGCCACCCTTTACCCCCAAGAATATTCCTGGTACTCATTTTTGTTAGACGCTGAGTCAAACACAGAGCCATAGTGTTACTGGAAGGATTAGGTAAATTGAAAAAATCTACCTCATTGGGATTCGATCCTGCGACCTTCTGGCTTGTAGCATAGTTCCTCAACTAACTACATTACCACGTGCCCCTCTGACTTTTTGAGTATGTTATGATATTAACTATTAATATTTCTGGCTTCCAAAATTGCAAGACTGACTAGAGACATCCTGAATGCTAAGATGAATATTTGAGATAGATTTTTGTGCTGTCATAATTTATATAGGGTAAAGGGTTATGGGCTTTAAGTGGGCATAGTGGTCACTGAAATGAGCAAGAAAGCCCTAATAAGCATATGCCCAGTGCAGACAGAACAGCCACCGCACAGCAGTAACATTCATCACAGGGATCTGCATATATACATAATATCAGATTTGAACATCTCAGTCCACGTATAAACAACCCACATGGGATACCCCAAACACTGTGTTCAGCCATCATATGTTTAATAGGAAGGTAAAAAAAAAAAAAACATGACCTGTACTCTGAAGATAGATCCCAGCAAGCATATACCCCTCAGCAAAATATCACTACCATAGAGGAACAACACATATATAATATGTAGCAGGCGCAGGGCTTACATAGAATTTGTAATATTGGCTAAAAATACATTAATAGCCATTTAAATTTTAATTTTTATCCATTTAATATCAAGTTTAATGTCTAAGTTTTAACTATATTTTAACCACATTTTAGAAATTAAGATGTAGTTGTCAGTATAGGATAAGACACAATTCAGAAGCTAAATAGTATTTGTGTACACCTGATGATGACCCACGTAAAGGGCCGAAACATCTAGCAATACCACCAATAATGAATAAAAACAAATGTTGACACAGTAGTGTTTATTTTGTTTGTTTTTCATTATTTGTTGTGTGACTGTCCCAAATTATATCTTTTCGTAAATAACATGGAGCAGGATGAATACCATAAAGATATGTGCAGAAACCAGTGCCTGCCAAAATATGGGAAGTTCTTGTTTGATATCTGCTGCAGATGCTCTGTGTGGTTCCCATGTATTTCAACACAAGTTCCAGCTCTTCACTGCAGAAAGGTGCGCACTCTGTCAGAAATTCCTGGTTTCACTCAAATCTCCTGACAGGCATTCTCTGCTAGTTCCTGTAATGTCTCTTTTAAGTCATTGATTGGCACTGAATATACCAAGTCCTTAGATGTCTTCAGAGTCAGAAATCCAGAGGATTAAGACTAGTCGACTGGGCCTCTGCATCCTATCTACTGCTCACCAAGTCTGGTTGAGGTGCTGTCTGACATTGGAGAGAAAATGAGGTAGTGCCCCATCATGCATGAACCAAATGTGTTCTCACTGTTGAAGAGGCTCATGTTTCAAGAGTACTGGTAAATCATTCACCAAAAAAATAGTACTGTGCATTTTTAGTGTGATAGGTAAGATAACTGGTCCTAAGAGTTGATCACATGAGATTCCCACCTAGACATTGATGGAAAATCTATGGAGATGTGTTGTTACCATGGTGGTGTGGTGATTGTCATCCACCCAGGTATGGGTATTATGAAAGTTGACAGTACTGTCCCTTGTGAGTCCTGCCTCATCAGTAGACAGGATGTTAGCTACAGATTCTGTTTACAATGCATTCTGCAAGAAGCCATTGGCAGAACTCAACCCTTGCACAATGGTCAGAAGGAGTGAGGGCTTGTACTGGCTGGATATGGTATGGATAAAGGGACTATTCATGAAAAGTTCTACAAAGGGAAAAGGAGGTTTAATTCTAATGTCCCATTTGTTGTTCAAATCATATATCCAACTTAAAATAAGCCAAGGACGATGTTTGAAGTGGAGTGCTACCCATATTACATATTATTTCTTGTTTTGAAGTAATGTGTGACCTCTGGTTGATACCTAAGATGAGATGTCTTGAACAGAAACTGTAACTATAGGTTAAATGAACATCTGAGTGACAGTTCAGGTGTACTGGCATATATATTTTGGGGGTATGATTGTATGTAGGTGTTACAACATATCATCAATGCCATGGTATCAGAGAAAGATTGCCAGTGCCATTTTTGCTACACCCCCCACCTCAAGCTTTGAAGAGGCTCTGGTCTATTTCTGCAAAGCTGAGGAAGTGGATCCTAACTTCTACAGGTAATACAAACGTCAAATTTATACTCTGCAGTACAGTAGATTTCTAAAAATAATGTAAAATTGAGGAATATGTACAGTCAAGGAAATGCTTTTTAAATGTAGAAAGAATTGTGTACTTTTCAGTATAGTGAACAGCACATGGATGTTATAAGTTATATCAGAAAGAAGCAAGGCATCTTCAGCATGCCTCCAGATTGGTAACATGGGCATGTTGGGTGACAACTTGCACTTGCCTGTATACCATGAGTACTCCCTACCTTCCTGTACTTCTTGGTGGACTGACCACATTCTGTGAAAGAACATCTAGCACTTCATCTTCATAGTGCACTGGTACACTTCCTTCAAGATAAATATCATAGTGTGACTAATAAGGTGGCTTTCCTTAATGGTATATGGATTGCCACATCTGACAGAATTTTACATATTTATAACTGCATTTCATTAGTATAGTGCTTCAGTTACAGGCCCTTATATAGGCTGACACTGCTCTGTTTTATCACTGACCTCCATTAAACTTCCAGATTCTTACCACCAATCAGCTTTGTTGTCCATACCAGCTCTGGGGCCCCACCCAGCCTCCTATCCAATTGGTACTGGGGGCTCTTTCCCCAGGGATAAAGCAGCATGGGCACATTGCTGACCACTCACCTCCAGCTAGTGCCACGGTCAAGAAAATGTGGATCTATACACCCATTTCCCCATATGCCTCCATGGCATAGTCTATAATTATTTAAGCACAGGGACAATTTACTTTATCTGTCTTTGTCAGTCCCATCCACAGTCTGACAGATTCAGAGTGTAAGCAATTTTATGCTGGGTTTAGTAATTGATTTTCTGGTTTAATTGCATTTTGGCACAAACTGCCATCGATGATGATATGCTGTCACACCTCTTCTGATCACACACACACACACACAGAAAATAGAATGCCTGGTTTCCGAAAGTGAGGAAGGGGTTCAGTTGCCAACACAGAAGGAACTGTTTACACCAGATTCACATTTGGAAGGTAGTTGTTTCATATTTTGGATGGGAACCAGGTTTCCATATATTTTTTTTTCTGCCTCTGCAGTGAATTATGGATTAGTACTTTAAAATATGTCACATGTTCTTTTCATATTTTGCAAAATCTCAACATCAGTTAAAGAAGACTAAACTAAATGTCAGGTCATCCCTGTGTTTAACCATTGCACCACAAATATGTGTGGAGGAATGGGGATAAAATTTCACACATTTGTAATATATGCCCCCCCTCCCCCAATATATACATGTGTGCATGCGCACACACACACACACACACAAGCAAAACTGTACAAGACAGGAAGTTGAATTGTAAAAGTGTTGAACTCTCATAAGAACATGAAGAGACATGAACAAGTTACACAGCATACTCATGCCACTTTCACCTGTCACATTGTCAGTGTCAAGCTGTAAAGTGAGTTGCAGTGTGAGTGAATGAATCTATTTGCAGCCAGCATGCCAATGGTCACACAGGCCCTTCATAAGCTCGTATTTCTAGACACAGCAGACATCACTGTACTCCATGACTCCATGCTGAGTGTTAATCTTGTACCATGCAATTCGTGTGGTCTTCCTTTAAATTATCTACCAGTACTTATACTTTGATACTTGTGAAGTATTTTGCTTCTTATTGTGATATGTATCTTCAGTGCACTTGAATGTCATTCTGAAGTGCCATAACACACCAAACCAACATATTTCCATTTCCCTCCACCATCCTTCAGGATACAGCAGTTTAGTGATCAGCTCCAGTTCTTTACCCCAGGTAACTATTGCTGGTCTGGACATAATGATGAAGAGAGAAATTCTGTCCTTTCAGGGAATCAAACCCCACTGGTTCAGCTGTTCCAGCTATTGATACAACCAAATAGTCATCATGAGGTACTGTGAGGAATACTGTCTTCTGGGATATGGCATCTGTGGTAGAAGTTCATTGACATTTTGGAGGAACACCTTGCCTCCATTTTCAGGCATGAAGAGCAAGCAGATATGATGCTTGCTTGTTTGGTTTAGTCTTCAATCTTGAAGATGGAGGCAGTATGAGTATGAGGGGTGAGCCATAAAAACCGGCCCTCACACCGCAACCTTCAATGATCTATTGTGCTTCCCCTTTGGATTAACCCTTTATTGATCCTATACTTCGAATGAAATTTAGGACTTTATTTATGGGGGCGTCATAAAAGTCACTTGGCTCCATGAAGAACTGACCAAGGTGGTGATATCTTAGGTAAGCTATAGCCTCAGAATCACATAAGATGTGCGTGGCTGATTCATCTTCTTGTAAGCACCTTTCACAAGTTGGGTCGCCTGTCAGGCACAGTTTGAAAAGGTGCTCTTTTAGGTGGCAGTGTCCAGTAAGTAATCCTACCACCCATTTGAGTTGATCTCTGTTTAATTTTAACACGTCCTTCGTTCTCTTGGCAGAGGGTCCTGATATAAATCTTTTTGCCTGTTTGAGTCCAGTTGTGGCTTTCCTTTTCTCCCACCCCCCCTTTTTTTTTGGTGATATCTGTTGGTCCAGTCCCTGATCTCTTTATTGGCAACTCCGATTCAGATCCTGGTTCAGGTCCTATGAATGGCTGTTGAGATCCTGTTCTTGCCAGCTGATCTGCTGTTGCATTCCCAGCAATACTCTCCTACTGAGATGCCGCAAGCTGGTTCAGGTCCTATGAACGGCTGTTGAGATCCTGTTCTTGCCAGCTGATCTGCGGTTGCATTCCCAGCAGTACTCTCCTACTGAGATGATGCAAACTGGTTCAGGTCCTATGAATGGCTGTTCAGATCCTGTTCATGTTAGCTCATCTGCAGTTGCATTCCCAGCAATACCCGCATGGCCTGTTATGTCTGGCCAGTTGTGTGAGGGGTTGGTGACAGTCCCAAACCAATTTTGAAGTGATTTGTTGTGTACCAAGTGCTTTGATTGCAGCTTGACTATCTGGTAGAATATAGATATTCCAATTTTTGTAGTTTCTTTCTAAATTCTCAACTGCGCATGCCTTAATGGCATACACTTCTACCTGGAATACTGTTGTATACTGACCGAGGCCGAATCTACATTTCCGTCATCTTCCATCACAGTACGCTCCAGCTCCAGTGCTTTCATTCATCTTGGAACCATCTGTATTGCAGATAGTCCCCCCCTTTCTCTCAGGTTGACGCCCCTCTTTCCATTCACTTCTGTCAAGAAATCTGATCATAGACATGTTTTGGTATCATTTTATCAGATCCCATCTGTAGGATGGGTTCCTGAATCATATATACATGTCCAAAACCTTCAGATTTAGGTCTCCATTGAGCATTGCAACGTAAATTTCCTAAGTTCACCTCTGATTCCATCTGTAGATGCAGTGGGGGGAGTCCTAGTAGGATTTCCATTGCAGCTGTTCTCAATGTTCCTGTAATTCCCAAGCAGGCTGTCCTTTGTAATTTGCTTAGTTCAGCCTGACTTGTTGTAAGTTTCACTCTAGGCCACCATATAGTGGCAGCATAGGTAATTATGGGTCTTACCACAGCAGTGTATATCCAATATACCACCTTTGGTTTCAGTCCCCAGGTTTTTCCAAACATGCCTCTACATGTCCAGAAGGCCTTGTTAATAGCCTTGTCCAGCTGTTTTCTCCATGTCCAGTCCCTTTTCTAATATTATTCCAAGGTACTTGACTTCACTGGATAGCCGGATCGCTTGACAGAAGAGGATTGGTTCTCTGAGCCCCTTGATATTCCTCCTCCTAGTAAAGGGTATAATTACCGTCTTGTTTGGATTGATAGACAAGTTTGTTCCTTTGCACCACCCTTGAAGTGTGTGCAGGACTGTTAGTAAGACCTCTGACACAGTGTAAGGGAATTTCCCATTTATTAGGATTGCTATATCATCAGCATATCCTACTGTGAAATGACCTTTACTGTTGAGCTCCCAGAAATCATCGTCCACAACCAGACTCAACAGCAAAGAGGAGAGAACACCTCCCTGTGGACACCCTCTCACCACAGATGCTCTCAGGGTCAACCCAGACAATGTAGCACTTATATTCCTGCTTTCCAGCATAGCACAGATCCATCTACATATTGCAGGCTCAATGCCATGCCTTTCAGCAGCCTGTTTTATTGTCAAAAGAGGTTTTGTCAAAGGCTCCCTCTACATCAAGGAATGCTCCAAGGGCAATGTCCTTGTGTTCAATGGCATTTTGAATACATGTAACCACATTATGCAGTGTGATTTCAGTATATTTACCTATTTGGTAAGCATGTTGGTTTCGATGCAGAGAATAGATCTTCAATGACCATCCCTAATGTATCTATCAACTACTTTCTCCATCATTTTCAAAAGAAAGACGACAGGCTGATAGGACGATAAGCCTTAGCCTCGGTATAATCAGGTTTCTCGGGCTTCAGTATAAATGTCACTTTCATTTGCCTCCAGGCCGCAGGGGTAAACCCATGCGCCATGCAGGCTCTAAATATGCAACATGGGTGTGGGACTAAATGTTCCACCCCTTGCTGCAGAAGTGCTGGAACAATTCCATCAGTTCCCGCAAACTTAAATGGTTTTAAGGTACCTAATGCCCATCTAATGTTTTATTGATTGATTACCCGACCGGCCAGGTTGCAGTCTCCCCTGTTTGTTATGTGTCCACATACGCCCAGGTTCTGCTGGACCCGCCCCATCACCTGAATCATCAGTCAGCTTTGAATCAGGGAAGTGAACTCTGAACAGTTCTTTCAGTGTCCCTTTCCCAGTTAGGGTATGCTTACCATCAGGCAGCTTGATAGTACTGACCTTGTTGTTCGCCAGTTTTGCCATGGGCCTCATGAGTCTGGCGCTGCCTGGTACATCATTGATCTCCTGGCAATACCTCCTCCATGAGGATCACTTGGCGTTCCTTATTTCTTTATTATAACTAGGGACCGGATTTTAATGCAAATGCATATTTCTTTCCTGCAACCAGAAGGTATGCTCATTTGGATATATGTATGAATTACTTCATTTCTTAAAATTTGGACATTGTTTGATGGTGCATATAAATGCATATTTTGCCTGTTTTATGAATAAGCATCAAATTTTCAAAGATCTCTATTTATGTAAGATTTGAGGCTTTCACGGCGGTGACTATGAAGAAAGCAGTCTTCTGGGATTTGGCACCGTGTATATGTGGTGTTAACCGACGTTTCGGAGGAACGTATCGCCTCCATCTTCAGGGTAGAAGAAAAAAAATATATATAAGAATCTGCAAGCAAAGAGACCGTGAGAACCGGTAAAAGCAGACTGCTTTCTTCATCTCTATTTATACTGCATATTTCCTTTTTAAAATGTTTATCATACATATTTTTTAATTTTATGTTCAAATTTTCAGCCATGGTCGTGTGTATACAATTTTTATTTTCCGTATTAGAATATGGTGCATATTTGACTCAACATTTCGTCATGATTCATGTTTCTGATGCAGTACCCAGGATGGGACTTCCGTGATCCCTCTACTCGTAACTTTCCTCATCCACGAATTTTTTATCAATTCCATGAATTTACTATGGCCAAATGGCATTCAGTATGAGCTCATATTGCTCTTAAAGTTATATTTCCAAATATGACACATTTGACTTGCCTTCCCCATGGGTTGCACCGTGTTGCAGAAACAATTCGTGCAAATTTTCCGCTTCTTGACAAGTTGGTGTCTTCTGTGAAGAAGGTATTTGTTAAAGCGCCATACAGAAAAGAAGTCTTTAAAGCAGTAGCACCGAGCGTTCCACTTCTGCCAGAACCAATTTTAATGCACTGGGACACGTGGCTGTGTGCAGCGAGTTATTATACCAAACATTTAGAAACAGTTAGGAATGTCCGGCATACATTTGATCCCAAAAGTGCAGCATCAATTCAAATTGTCCAAGATGTACTAAAAAACGCAGAACTAGAAACTAATCTTTCCTATATATCTGCTCACTTCTCTCACCTTCCATCCGCCATTTCCTCACTAGAGGCAAGCAATAGCAATACTACTTTGTATCAGTCGTTAAGTGTGTTCAAAACCACTGTTTCCAAATTGAATTCGGTTCCTGGAAGAGTTGGTGAAGTAGTAAAGGAAAAAGTACACAGCATTCTTTCAAAAAATCCAGGATATTAATACATTTCTGAAATTGAAGAAATCTTAGCCGTTAAACGTACTGAACTGCCAAGTAAAAAATCACTAACAGTGGAACAAATAGCGGCTTTTGTACAAGTTCCCCTAAGTTCCTGTGAGGTGGAATGAAGGTTTTCGCTCTATAAGGACATCTTACGAGACAATAGGAGACCACTAACTATGGAAAATGTAAAACATTTAGAAACTGTGAACTGCAACAGAAGAGAAGTTGAAAGTTCAGAGAGCCACATGTGAGTGTCATTGGTTTTTTAAATTTGTAATGAAATATGTTGGCTTTGTTGCATGATTTGTATTTAAGTATAGCTTTTTATTGCAAGTGAATCATTCAGTGATTACATAAAATTAACTTAAATATTGATTTGTTGGTCTTAAAATAATGTAAAATCAGTGTTAATATTTGGTATAAATTTTATGTGCATATTTTAGTGCATATTTCGGAAGTTTTTCATGCATAAATGCATACATATTTTAGGGATTATTAGGACATAAAAATCCGGTCCCTAATTATAACAGATGAGGGTTTCCTTGTAGGTGTCCCACAGCCCCATTCTTTTCGCTGTATTAAATAGCTTTCTTGTTTTAGCTCTTAGCCCACTCAGCTTGTTATTCCACCAGGGTGCATTTCTTGGTAAGCGAGTGGTCTTGGCTAGACACTTATGATAATAGGACAAGCTATGGAGGCAGTAAATCTAACTTCTTTCAGAGTACATGGCATCACTTCCCAGAGTACTCTTCAAATGAACATTATGTTTGTCCTCATACCATGCCACTTAGATGATTACATGGAGAGTTTCTAGTCTTGGTCTGGTTAAGATTCAAATTTTCTCAAGAAAGAATGTTGCAGCCTGTATTGTTTATTCCATTTAGTTTATTTAATGATGCTGTCAGTAACTTGGGCTATATAGTGTTGAATGACTAGATAACAGTAAACAGTAAATCAGACTAGATGTGGAAGTAGTCATGGCCTAATTTAAGGTACTATCTGGGCATTTACCTGGTGGGATTGAAGGAAACTATGAAAAACCATTCAGCATAAGTGCCCTGGTTGAAATCCAGACTAAGCCATCTTCCAAATTCAAGTCAGAAAGATTACCACTAGCCCATATGCTACTGTAATTATGTGATGCTAGCATTATCTTGCTATCTAACTATAATAAACTAAATATAATGAAAAGGATTAGTGACCATGGTGACAGGATAATACAAGAGGGGTTTGCTACACAAGTATGTACACTGATACACTGATGTTTAAATTTAAATTTGTCATGCATTATGCAGGTAGTCATGTAGGTGGATACTGATATTTAATTCTGCTCATTTAAGCATTGGAAGCCTCATATTCACTTATTCACTAACTGCTCACTGCAGGAAAGGGAGAAGATGGTTTTGTTCGAGGGCAAGTTTGTCAACTTCAACTGGAACAGCACTCCTCTACTCAGGCCCATGAAAAAAAATGGTTGACGTCCCATTCCTCACAGGAGCCCTAAGAAGACTTTGTGACAGAATTTCCCTCCTGCGAGGAAAACGAGGTGCAGAAAAGACCTCTTTTCTGACAGTTCCATTTCCCACCTGTGATGAAAAACACAGTGTGCCCCTTAAAACAGCTTTTTTCCTACCCACAACTCCCACTGGCCTAGACTCTATTGTTTGGATCTAAGTGACCAACTTTCTTGTAACCTGCTAATGTAACTGAGCCTATACACTTCAACCATAAAGATGGAAGTAGCATGTTCCCCTGAAACTTCAATATTGTTGTGCAACAATACATAGCATCACATTCTAAACATTGTTGATTTCTCTCTGATATACAGTCAAAACTTGCTAATGCTGGGAAAGACATACCTGAAGCTGGAAAAGGATGAGAAAGCTCGATACTATCTTAAACTGGCTTCCCTTTATCCCCCACAGACAGACGACGACCTTCAGGTAAGGCAGAGTGGAGTATGTTTTATCCAGTTTAACACTCTCTGTTTAGTGAAGTTTTGTTAGGAAACCATGTAAGAACTGTGAGTCTCTTACTTAGGAATGTAGCATATATGTTGAATTTGGTGGATGTTAAGTGTTGGAGGGACAATAGTAGAGTGTACCTGTATGTGGTAAGGGTAATTTTACCCCTGTGCCCATGCCATGAAGCATGGTGTGGAAGTGAAGCTCAGTACATCCTTATAGACTGCATCTCTAGATGGAGGTGTTTATGCTTCAGCTGTTTTAACTTTGAAGGAAGAGCCTCTGTAGCACAGACAAAAACCTTGTTCCTACTAGGGGCTGAATCATTCAGCCACTGAAGGTTTTCTAAACTGGGTGTGTTTCAGAAGTGTTTTGGATATGTTAATGTAGAGAAAAGTCATACTTCTACCTGAAATAAAATAATCATGCCTGTGGGGGTAAAGTTCAGTAAATTCTAAATTTGAGGGGAAGAGCATGTTACTGGATAAGAGAGATGGGTGAGCTTCAAAACTGTCTTTGATATGGCAGTGTGCAGAAAATATTTGCCTTATGCTGGATGGAACCATCCTGTTGGTAGAGGTAAAGTTTCTTGTATTCTGAACTTCACTCCAGAGGAAGAGTCCCTGCTACCGATTGGGTAAGAGGCTGGTTGTGTCTCAAGAGCTGGTCTGGATATGTACGTTTACAGAAATATTTCTTCGTGCCAGGTCCGTACTGGTAAAGTTCATTCTTTCTGTACTTCACCCTAGGATACTCACTGGATGGGTGAGCGAGCTCCATAGCCACATTGTGGACAGGCACCATGCAGAAAAATCTTGCCCTTACCATGATCCAAATCATTCAACCTCTAGCCTGACATTACAGCACTAAAAATCATGAAATATTTCAAAATTATAGGTGTAACTTAAAGCACAACTGAACATGATGTCAGTCCACCTTGAAATCAGTGTGATTAATAATTATTGTATTCTCCAGGACTTGCAAAAATTTATGCTAACCATAAGGTAAACTGAATGCTTATACTGTACATGTATAATTTTGGTTCAATTGATACTCGCTTCTTTTTATTTGACTTTCAAAATCATACTGATTTAAAAATTAATGTACCAACCATGGTTTGTAAAGTGCATGAGTGGAGGATGCTTTTCATTCCTATTGGATACTAAACTTCGACACTGTCCTAAATTTTGAGTCTACTGAGTCTTAACATATAGCAGATTTACTTTATTTCTGTGGTGCTCCATACTTTTCCAGCCCTTGGAATATTTAATTTTTAACTAACAGTCAAGCAGGGCAATCCAAGAAAAGACTAATATTTAATGTTACATTTTTAAGCCAAGATCTTACAGTACTTGGAATTGGAGAACACTGAAGCTGACTCCCTTCTGTTGCAGGCAATTAAAGAAGCTTGTGATCTGCTCAAGAATTTGGAGAAGCAGCAGCAGCAATAAATGTCACATTTGGATGCAGTGGTTGCAGTCTAATATAAATTAACAGTAATTTAATATAGGGTCAATCAAAAAAGGCCCTTCATTTAAAAGTGCATATACTTTTTTGAGACTGTTCTATATCACTGTACTCCTTGAAATATATGAAGACATTGGTCACTGCCCCATACAACTTTACCTTACCTTTATCTTTGTTGATATTATCGCTTGAGAAGTCAGTTATGGCTTGCAAGCATCACAGTTGACACTATGAAACAGCTGTCTAGCAAAGAAACCATTGACATAGGCCACTGAGAACACTTCCATGTCACCAGCACTTACTATTGCTTCTACTTGCTCTGCAGCATGGAAACTATGAGGAGCATCATGACAGTTCTTTGTGCCATTAATTATGGAGGGCTTTCAACTTTCAACTTTATTTTCGTCCGTAACTGAAGTGAATACAATTGGACACGTCAAAAAATAATGGCGAATACATCACGTCAAAGTCACATTAATATTACACAATGATCTATCACGATAATATAACCACCATTGTAAGGTACATAACAATAAAACATGCACAAGACCAAAAGAATAATATCAGTAATATAAAACATGTAAACATAATATTAAAAATCGCAAACAAAAAGACAGTCAACAACAGACTAGTCATCAATCCAACATTAGTTGAACAACTCTTGAAGAGTAATAGAAAGCGCTGCCTAGCAAATAATTTTTTAGTTTCCTTTTAAAAGCATTAAAATTTTAAACGCTTTCAATTCAAGGGAAAGGCCATTAAATATTTTAGTTCATATATTGATAAAAGACTTTTCTTTTGCAACGATCGGTATTACAAAATTGGACATACAAATTATTTTTATGTGTGGTATTGTAGCTGTGAATGACAGAATAGTGAGTTGTATACATCTTGTTCTTTATTATAAAACATAAAATCTCAAATATATATAATGAGGTAACAGTTAAAATCTTAAATTCACGAAACATATTTGTACAGTATACTCTATTTTTAACACCATTAGTCACTCTTACAGTTTCAGAGTCCTTAAGCCCCCCACCCCAAAAAATAATACCATATTTCAATATAGATTGGAACTTAGTAAAATAAACGTTTCTTAATACAGATAAAATAAAAAGACCCTTGTTGAAGAAAGAAAGCAGTCTTCTGGTGTTTGGCACCGTGTATATGTGGTGTTAACCGACGTTTCGGAGGAACGTATCGCCCCCATCTTCAGGGTTGAAGAAAAAGTTTAAGAAATCTGCAAGCGACAACACCGTGAGAAACGGTAAAGCAGACTGCTCAGTTTGTNTATTTGTACAGTATACTCTATTTTTAACACCATTAGTCACTCTTACAGTTTCAGAGTCCTTAAGCCCCCCACCCCAAAAAATAATACCATATTTCAATATAGATTGGAACTTAGTAAAATAAACGTTTCTTAATACAGATAAAATAAAAAGACCCTTGTTGAAGAAAGAAAGCAGTCTTCTGGGATTTGGCACCGTGTATATGTGGTGTTAACCGACGTTTCGGAGGAACGTATCGCCCCCATCTTCAGGGTTGAAGAAAAAGTTTAAGAAATCTGCAAGCGACAACACCGTGAGAAACGGTAAAGCAGACTGCTCAGTCTGCTTTACCGTTCCTCTGAAACGTCGGTTAACACCACATATACACGGTGCCAAATCCCAGAAGACTGCTTTCTTCATAGTCACCGCCGTGAAAGCCTCAAATCTTACAGACCCTTGTTGAGTTTTTTCACGCATATTGAGTGTGAGTTGCCCAGCTTAGATTTTAGTAATACAAATACCCTAAAATTTTAAATTGATGAATAAATTATTTCCTTATTATTTAAGCAAAAAACAGGTCTATAGATTGGAGTAGGTCTTCTTCTCTGAAAGAATAATACTTTATCCATGTTTATTATGAGATGATTGTAATGGAACCAAATGTCTAATTCATTCCTAACTTTTAGGATTTGTATCATCAGCAAATACTACTACCTTAGCTTCATGAATAGCTAGGGGCAAATCATTTACGAACAATAAAAATAATAGGATTTAAGTAGAGGTCTTTTGATCAACCTGTGGAGGTAACAGATGTTTTGAAAATGTGGCGCAATTTGGATATTTGGGAATCACTGTAACAAATCAAAACCTGATTGAGGAGGAAATTAATAGGAAAATGAACTCTGGTAATGCTTGCTACCATTCAGACCAGAATCTTTTGTCTTCTTGTCTACTGTCAAAAAACATAAACATTACAATATACAAAACTATTGTGCCTGTGGTTCTGTATGGGTGTGAAACTTGATCTCTAACATTAAGGGAGGAACATAGACTGAGTGTGTTTGAGAACAGTGTTGAGCAGAATATTTGGACCAAAGAGGGACGAAGTGACAGGAGGGTGGAGAGAACTACATAATGAGGAGCTTCATAACTTGTACACTTCTCCAAGTATAATTAGAATAATGAAGTCAAGGAGGATGAGATGGGCAGCGCATGTAGCATGAATGGGGGATAAGAGGAATGCATATAGGATATTTGTGAGAGCCAGAATGAAAGATACCACTAGGAAGACGTAGGATGGTGGATAATATTAAAATGGATCTTTGAGAGATATGATGGGATGCTTTGCATTGATTTATCTGGCTCAGGATAGGGACCAGTGGAGGGCTCTTGTGAACACGGTAATGAACCTTCAGGGTCCCATAAAATGCTGGGAAGTTCTTGAGTAACTGCACAGTTGGTGGCCTCCCAAGAAGGGCTGAACTGACCGAGTGAGTGAGTGAGAGAGAGAGAGAGAGAGAGAGAGGTGGAGAAGTATGAGAGCAACGATTGTAGGTTATCCAGAAGAAGAGCACCATCATTCTCACAGTTTTCTGGACAATGATGATGCTTGTTTCATTTCATTTTATTAATATCCATGGATTGTTATACATGATATAGGACAAGTCATATATTTTCTATATACAATACTTGATCATTATAGTAAATTAAAATAATATAATAATAAAGATAGCACTAGTATATTAATTTTAATGCAGACACAACACAATGACACACCTTAATACACTAATCCCACTGTCCCGGCACAAGACACATTGCAAATTTTGATCTCCCTCACGTAACCTATGCAAATATTACCCTGTCACATAGTGACCTAATTCATGGAATAAATAACAAAGCTAAACAGTAGACACTCTCATGATTTGCACTAATCTTCAACAATCTACGAATTAATTATTCCTAAAATATATGGTTATGAATGACAGGTATTAAGACTTCTCCCTAAACAAGAAAAAATCATGTATACTATAAAAACAATGATCAAATAGGAATTTTTTCAAAGCATTCTTAAACTTATATAGTACAAGTATCTCTTTAAAATAATGTGGTAGTTGATTTAACATACGAAGTCAAAAGTTCTCAAAATTATAATAATCGATTTAATTTTCCCCCATCCAATGTTCGGTAATGCATAGCACATCCAACTCTAGTGTATTATCAGTTAGTAACATCAATATTTAACTTTTTATTATTTAAACTTTGTACGTTTTGATTATGTATTTGAATGCTGATACTGATTTTATTATTATACTTGAAAATACTAGCTCAATGCTTATTTATAAAAAATCTCTGCTAAACTTTACTGGGTGCCTCCTCACTCTGGTTGACATATGAACTTCCTGGTGTTGATCACTTTCAGATAGCACGATATAGTTGAGTGATGGATCTAATACACTCTTCTCTGTTTCGTTCCTCTAGTTACCAGCAGCCTCCTCAAAGACAATGTTTTCTCTATATTCTAGTGAAATAGCGTTAACTACTGAACCATGCTTCCATTGAACCAATTCTGCTGTTAACATATTTTCTCCTTTCCTCTGTTATATATGAAATCCATGTCTTGTAAAATGCTGCCTGTCAAGATTTACGCTACTAATCGACAATTGTTTATTACTGTTATGCCTGAAGGGGTGGGGGAGGTTAAAGAAAATACTGTAGTGCCCCCGTGTGGCAGGCGAACATTCTACCACTGTACCACCTATGCCACCAATTGTAATGCCGTGGCGACAGGGGGGGGGGTTCGATATCCTACCGCTGTCACCAATTGTACTGCCATGATGGGGGTGGTTAAAGAAATGATACTAAATTACTCCATCGTCATCCTTTCGTTGGTTCATCCCACCTTCACTGGCACCACTTTGTAATGGCGTAGAGCAGGCGTGTAGGTTCTGACCCGCCTCTACCCACTAACTGCCACGCGCCCAAGGACTGGGCTGTCGTTAAGCTGCTCTAACTAGGGTTCTCCTCACCCTTAAACTGTTCGTGCATGCGGCTGCTGCTGGCTGCCTAGGGTCAGATCTGCCTTCGTCTGGTCTAGGATAGCTCCGGATCAGTCTGGGACGGGTTCAGTTCGTGGAGGTAAATCACAAATCTGGGTACATCCTATCCTAATTACACCGGTCTATTTACACTCGTATTTACAATATAGAAATGCTGACGTTCTGTCGGGTTTACATAGTATCGGCTCGTTAACTAGTTCTCACTTTCATTCTAATCTCCCACCTAGGGAGTATGACTCGAGACCGTCACTTCCCTTCATTTTCTGTCACTCGTTACACAATTTCTGTCCTATCCCTATGTACACTGATCTATTTACCCTTCACTTTACATCCTATTTACCGTAATAACAATGCCGATGTCGTGTCCGGACTACCTAGTGTCTTTATTTTACCAGGCTATCACTTCATTATGATCTCCCCTTCTAGGGTGTATGACTCGAGTCTATCTCTCGTTTCTTCTCCTAATTTGGCTCGTGAGGCTATACGAGTATTAATCGTTCGACGTGAACCTTTTCCTCTCTCCATTCCCTACCACTCATTTGACAGTTCTACCCTATTCTATCATAATGCTTCACCCTTAAAATAGTCTGCTCCTAGAACTTTAAATACTAAAAAGCCTAAGTATGTTTATCACAAAATCAACGGTCACAACAATGAACAACAAATATGCGTGCTCCGCATACTACCAGCAAATCGTAACACAATTTAACGACAGCCATATTTACCGCACTAGCACCCTGGCAATCACTCGTTACACTATTTCCCCTGTCCTACCCTAAAGCTCGCAAGGCACCCTGGAGATTGCACTTCAACAATTTCACAAACAACAATTTTAACATGGCTAGAATGAGCAAATTGACTTACTTTAGATAGAGACGCATGCGAACAGCACCACTTATAGCACCCATGCCGAACAGAGCCTTCGGCTACTTGTGTAATATTACGTTTTCGATCGATCCCCTAAAAGCCTTTCTTTCCCACCTTTATACTCCAAAACAGCTGGCGCAGCAGCTCCTCCTCTTCCCCAATACCACGTGATTTCCCTACCCTTTCTTCCCCTGTGTCTCGGAAATAAATTTGTTGGGAGCAGAGGAGTTAGTCTGATAAGTGGATTCACTTGGACGAGGAAGTCTGGCGGACCAGCGGGAGTAATTTCTAAATTTCAGTTCAGCGGGATTTTTTCTAAATCTGGTTTCGGCGTAGTCAGGGGCTGGCCGCAGATGTCGGGGTTACTTGCAGTCGCCAGCTATCGGGGGATAAGTATGGCGGCGATACGCGAGTGCTTTAGTTAGCATTTTTACGTATATATTTTCTTTGGGGCCGCCTGTGACGGACTTGTTTAGTTATATATATATATTTTTTGGGGGGGGGGCCGCCTGTGTCTGACTTGTTTTGTTGGATATATTTATTTTCCTTGCGGCCGCCTGTGGCTGATCAGGAAGTGACTTCCGTACATAATTTCGGTGGGCCAGTGGAAATTGGCATGTTGCTGAGTTGATTCAGCGAAGTGCGGATCAGTATAGGGCAAATCAGCCATGTCTATTGGGTTATATATTTTGTATATTCTTGTAGTGAGTTATAACATGTTTGTGTTTATTAAATCTTCTTATTGCTATCTGGTCAGTCATTAACATCAGTAAGGCCCTCCGCTTCGAGTTTGGATTCCCTGCTACGACCTTATGGAGTATTGTAAACACGGCGCGAGAGCCTGTGACGGTGAACCGCTCCCGACTTCACGATGGTTGTAGGTGGTAGGCTGAAGACGGGAGTAGCATCGGTTCAAAGTGGTAGCAGAGCGTGGTTTCGGATCGTGGTTAGTA